AGGGTCTCTCATGTCGCTCTAATATCACGCGGTGAGGAGTCTGACTGCCGCCTTCTCGCCTGTGGCTTGTGCCCTTCCTGGAGTATCCAGGTGCTGTCTCCTGGTGGCGGGTGAATGTGCTGTCGGCGATCCCAGAAGCTGTACTGATGGCATGTGCAGGGGTGATCCCCCCCCGGCCGCGAGGCCCTCGCTGGGGTCCCGCCTGGCGGGGATACCCTGAACCCGGCCCCTGGTCGGCGGCTTGTTGGTCGTTCGGTGGATTCGTGTGCCCAGTGGCGGGTGCCTCTTTCACCCCCGCCCTTCGTCTCCCACGTCCCTCCACTCGTGGGCGGAGTTGTCTTGAGTGCGTGTTGCCTTCCTGTAGGGATGGAAAGGTATTGCAGGCCGCCAGTATTCGGTCTTGCTTGCTTCGCCTTGCCTCGCCATCCTAATATTGGGTGTGCTATCTCGAGTCCGCCGAACATCGTGGCGCAATTCGTGTAAGGGGGTTACTTCCCGCATTGTTGGGGTTCTGCTTCTGACTCGCTATGGGGGTTGGCCTCTGACTCGCTAGGAGGATCAGCCTCCAACTCGCTAGGAGGATCAGCCTCTAACTCGCTAGGAGGGCCAGCCTCCGAAAAACGCTAGGAAGGTCAGCCTCCGAAAGAACGCTAAGGGGATCAGCCTCCGGAAGAGCGCTAAGAGGGTCCGCGATGGGTCTGCCTCCTAATCGCTAGGGTGGTCAGCCTGAGCATCGCTAGGTGGCTCAGGGTCCCGCATCACTAGGGGGAAGATCCGCCACCGCGTCGCTAGGGTCGGACTACACATCGCGGGTGGATTGGTCTCTGACTCTACCGCGCGACAGGTTAGGCATGTTCCGTCAGGCAAGGCGCGTCTTCTCGCCACTGGGTACCTCTTCTCCATACGGGACGTATTCTCTCTCCCGTTGCCTAGTCCGCATCGCGTCGCGTCCTTGAATCAAAGGGGCGCGAGTATGCGCTGCTGCGTTCTTTACTCTGCCGGTCTCGCATTCTGACCACTCACCGGTCTGTCTGGGGGATTTGTCTCCTCCCCGTCGTCTTCAATCACGCGCCTCGCCAGCACCCACTACGAGCAAGTCAAATGTCAAGGGTCGGGAAAGTCAGGTGGGGTTGGTCTGGGCCCGGCTCTGAGATGGGTGCTCTGTCGTTGGTTCGTTGCGGTAATCTTTTCGCATGAATGACTGGTCACTCCTCCTGGTTTGTTCGACTGGTCCGTCGGTCGCTGCTTGTCATGGGTCAGTCAACCTGGTCCGCTTGCTTGCCTTTCCCTTCAGTAGTTGCCCCAGCTGACACTAATTGAGATGACCAGGATCGCTATTACTCGCGTAAATCCCGACGAAAGACGGCAAAGCACTCGGCTACTCAGCCGGTCAACCCGGTCGACCCTGTCAGCCGGTCAACCCGCCGACACCACTCTTGCGGCCTAGTGCCGCTGGCAGGAACATATGACTGGCAATAAAAGAAAACGGAATTCCATACCTCATTCTCCATTTCTAGGTACACTTCGTTGCTTCTTCTCCACGGCATGTCGGTGTAATTTTACTGGCTCCTGGTTGTCTCTAGCCACTACCCTAGCGAAGATAAGTTTAAATGGGAATGAGTGAGAGAACTGAAAGGCCGCACTCGTTCGCTATGTTGGAAGTCGCTCACTGTCGTACTGCCGTTGCTGCGACAGGGAACGAGCGGGAACGGAAATTTGCGAAAGCGTAAATTGCGAAAACAGTTTCCGTCCGCATCCGCAAGCAGAGTCTGGTTTCGCGGATAAGAGGAATCTGGTTCCGCACCTTCTCGCGCTTGCGGTACGGCGGAAAGTCAAATCCACGATTTTGCGCGCAATTTCCATATAAATAGCTTGCAGAAGCGCTTTTGTCTAAACCTTGTTTAGAAAAATGTCTGCTGCGAGCCCTGAGAAGGGTGCCGATGCAGTTTCAAGCCAATCGACGATCTTTGAGGTCTTTGCAGTCAAGAATAAGTCCGGTAGACCGTGTGACGATACCTGGAAGTTTTTTGTTCGAGGCAATTACAACAAGACTAGCCTCAGCTACGGAGCTTCTTGCAAGACATGTCCCAAGAAGTGGACTCGTAGTAGCCTCGGCAAGCTTCGTTCAGAGGAGTGCCCTGGTGTTGCGCCTGAGATCAAAGCTCACTTTAGGTCCTTGATAGCTGACGATAACTGATAGTGGGGGCTGGACAAATGACAGTGATCCTCGTCCGTCCCAACCCCTTGTGTCGAGACTAGACAAGCGGCCCTCTTCGTTGCAGCCCCTGGTGTGTCGGGGGCGGACAGTTACAGCCCCTGGGTGGGTCGGGAGTGGACAGTGAGCCACGTCCGTCACAAACTAATACATTGAAGCCTTTACGTGGAGATCTGCACGAGTTGGGGCCGTTAAAAGCGGCTAGGGACCGATCATCATGACAACACCCCCATGACTACACTGTTCCTGACAGGGCGCACGACCGCCACAAGTTTTCGTATAGCTATACCATGCACAAATACATAATAATAACTGCATTTTAAGGTTTTCTAAGATATCCGCACTTTCCGAATTATTTCCGCAAAGGGTGCAAATCTGCGATAATTATCAGCAAAGGTCGGACAACTTCCCGCTCGTACCCTGTGCTGCGAGCATTCAAGTCTGTAACTACAAAGATTTGGAGAGGATGAAGTCCAGGGGGGCCCCGCAGCGGCGATCCGACTTTGTACACGACCCTGAACACCATGCACTTCAAAATCGTCACAAAGCGCACAAAGCTGCAGCAGCATTTCGCCGAACGAATGAACACATCCCAGTTACAGTGCGGCCCTAAGTAAAGGGGGAAGGGATCGCTGGTGCAGTGCATAGAAGGCTGCTTAACCCCGCACGATAGGTGACTGTATGCAAAGGGAAGTATGCAAGTCGAATCAACTTTGCATGATTGACGAATACTGAAAAGCACAGGCGATATTGGGAGTTCAGATTTAGCTTAAGATTTGCGGTTCGGAGGTCAAGAGTTCTGGAGGTTTAGGGTCCACAGCTGAGAGTTGAGATCCCCAGAGTAATGGCTGTCCAGCCGCAGAAGAGATCTTTCAAGGTGTTAGAAGCGCGTCTCATCAGCGCGTATATGTTTTGACTGTATTGCACACGGAGCCACACGCACTAAGCAGCACACATGTAAGGCACATTTTTATGTAATCCAAAGTAGACCACAAGCGGCCGAGCGACGAATGGCGGAGCCCCCCAACTACCTCCTCCCCGGGCCCCCCCCCCCACATACATATATACATACAGATAGACAGACCCACACACCGTCCCAGACTACAATTACACACACGTACAATTGTTATACGATTGCCTTATCGCATACCCCTAGGGAGGTAGCCCTAGGATAACATAGCAAGACGATGAACCCTCCGCAGCCTTCTCGACGTCTCCTGGAAAACTGAACTGGTGTCGAGTAACGGTCACGCAACGAGGGGGCAGCAGCAATACCAGTCGCTGTACGAGCCGCGTCAGCCCACACCGCTCCTAGGTGTCTCACGGAGTACCACCGGTCGGCGGGTGAGGTAGGGGATGATGACTTGGAGGAGGGGAGGACGGAATCGTGCAGTGCAAGGAGCAAAGGGACAGCTGCCAATATCGGACATCGAAAGCAACGATAAGATGCTGCTGCTGCTGCAGATGGTGATCGTGGTGGTGGTATGTGCGTTTGGAGGGCGGGGGGAGGAGGACTCCTTAAGGTGCAGCACACATATACACCCCTTACTTCACAGCTGCCCCCCCGGACCCCCCGGACCGTCCACCGATGCCACTGATGCCGTTGCAGCGGCCGCCCTTCCGCCGCCACCAAATATCCCCGGAACACCACCACCACCTACCCCTCCCCCACCACCGCCACCCCCCTCCCCTTTTCCCGCCATTTCCGCCGATGCCGCTCCGGGTCCCCCACTGGCGGCCCCCACTGGAGCCCCCATCAGCCTCCTCCTGAGCTCCTCCGGCTCCGAGAGGAACTGCGCACCGGAGACCCCCTCTCTGAGCCACCAGGCGGGCGCGCGGGCGAAGGCGTACTGGTGGCCGAAGGTGGCGACCTTGCCCACGTCCGGCAGGCAGCAGAATTCCATGAGCGCCAGCAGCCGGGTGCGGTCCGCGCCGTACCTGACCAGGCCGGGAGGATGGGAGGGTGGGAGGGTGGGAGGGAGTGGGAACGCGGGGACGTGGAGAGGAGGGCGGCAGAAAACATATGCAAGGCAAGAAGGCAGTGAGGGAGGGGAGAGGGGGGTTTGGTGGTGATACTGAGAGTTGCAGCTACACGATATTCCCGCCTCCGCGCAGAGGTAGTAATAGATGCCCAAGCAGGCAAGGGGTTGGGATTGGGAGGCTGGGGGAAGGGGGGAAGGGGTGCATACAACAGGGAAACAGACGAATATGTGTGTATGTATGTATGTATGCCCAGATGGATGCCAGAAGGCTTATTGGGAGTGGATCTTGTTTTCCCGGAGGAGTACGCGGAGGCGGCTCCCTGAGGGCGAATTTTCGGGACTTACATGCGGATGTATGGCTCAAGGTCCAGCTCTTTCCGCTCCGCGGCTGCGGCAGTTCGTGCTTTTAAGATTTCGCGGATGATGTATGACTGGAGGCGTCCGGGCTGGTCGTCCGCGGACTGCACCGACTTCTTCCAGGAAGCCGCTGCCGCCGCCCGTAGGGCCTGAGGTGGCCGCGAGGGCGGCATTTGATTGGGAGTGCGTCCGCTTGTCGACGCCTGCATACGTGGCATGAGAGGCGAGTTGGGAGTGATGCAACGTTATGAGACCAGTGCCAAAGGCGGTGGCAGGGTGGGCCGCCGCTTACTTGGGGGGACTCATCCGGCGCCAGGTCCCGCCCCGAGATAGAGCCGCCAAGCTTAGAGAGCAAATCGTCCAACGCCGCATCCTTAGCATTCAACTCATCCATGCTGGGCAGTTCTCGTATGCGTGCTTGGTCCTTTTCCGCCATCCGGTTAAGCGCCTCTGCCGAAATGAAAACACAGGCGATGCGCCCATCGTGACGAAAGGCCAAGAAAGTTGGGACCAAAAGGACAGCCAAACTCTCTTGCCTATTTCTTCAGGGCTAAAAGGCTTCAGCTTTCGTTGAGCGCCAGGGGCAACACGCTGGGCTAACTGCTTTGCGCTGGAAGACAAAGAGCTACCCATTGTTAATGCTGTATGAAACAGCGAAATGGTTTTTATGTTTTGTGTGCAACTTGTTGCTCTCAGACTGCACCTTTCGCTGGTAAAGGAATACGGCATCTGTGGACGATACCGTAACCGACATACCGGTTTCTATGTCACTAGGAGGAGCATGCTGTCTACAGGGGGAATTACAGCGATGCATAGCATATCCGACAGGGAGTCCAGGATGGCAGCAACAACATGTTTGGCAGAAGGCTTATTGTTATGTGCAACGAACTGGGTTTAGTCATCTTAAACGGTCGAGTTGCAGGTGACCGGGAGGGGGAGTTCAGTCTTTGGAGCAAAGGGGGTAAGAGCTTGAGTGTAATAGATTTGTTTGTCGTTTCACCGGCTCTGTTTTGGAAGGCGGTCCATCTTGCTGTCGGAAGTATACCAATTGCAACCGACGGTGATAGGTTCGGGGAGCTACGTAGTGATCACTGTCCTGTCCGGTTGGAGCTTGCAATCGCTTTGCGAGTCTCACCTGAGATCAGAGCCAAGCGCTACGCCTGTCCTCGTCTGGATACGAAGGACCAGGCGCGTAATGGTATAATGGTATCACCCATAATGGTATAATGGTATACAAGTAACACCCATGTGCAGTGAGATGGGACGGGGATGCGCCTTGGTGGGCTAGTGACTTTAACAGAAAGCTGTCATGGGCGAGACAAAAACTACACAACATGTCGCTAGGATAACGGACGTGTATAGCAATACGAAATAATATTATTTTATATTCATAATTTATTTGGATATACTCACGGGTGGACTTTAGGATAGCAGGTGGGTGTTTGGACCCAGGTCCTGCTAGGCTGCACCAGACCTGGCCCGTACGTCTTTAAAAAAATCCTAGAGCTTCTCAGTGTTTACAACATAGCATTGTGGTTGGAAGCGCCCGCAGAGCGGCGACCGTCATGAACCATGCATGACTCGTGCTTTGCTTGGAAGACAGCTGAAAAGAAGCTATAGCGTTAATACTTTCGTGGCGCATTCTTCTGCAGATGCCAGCGCCCGCGAATGGCAAAAAGGACGGTGCAAGGACTCCGACAGCTCGGCTGGCCGTTGCAGCTACAGCTGCCGCCTCGGAACCAAAGCCCGCCTATTCTCCGTATAACATGAACGGGCCTGAGGACCTGCCCCTGAAGGTTCCCTGTCTGCCCTGGCTGCCCCGACCCAAATGTTGTTTTCGACCACCTTCAGGTACGTACCGTACGCAGTACTACTGATGAAACACAAAAGCGGCGGGCCCCGCCGGGCCGCCGGCCGGCCCCTTCCTCCTTCCTGTCATTTGCCCACATACACAAGATTGTCACTCCGCACAACCCCCGCATTAATCCCCCGGCATGGCAACCAACCAACCGCTTCCCCGATAATCCTTGGAAAAACCCGAACCCACCCTAAGCTGGTCCTGCACAAACAGATCACCAACCATCCGCTGACCTCCTCCCATGCTCTCTAAGGCCTTATGCCCCTCGCTGAAGTCCTATTTCTGTAGACATTTGCTCCCGATATTACTTATATACACATCAGGATGGGCTGGCTTCCCTGCGCCCCTCACCTCCCCCTTCCCCCCTTCCCCCTTGCAGCCACCCTTGTCCTGGCAACCTGGAATCTGGAGAACTTCTCGGTGGCCGCTGCGAACTCCACCGCAAATGGAGAAGTGCCGAAAAAGGTGTACTGGGGCCCGGGGGGGGGGTGAGGGGGAGGTTCGTGGAATGTTAATGTGTTCATGATCGGTAATGTCCTGCGTCGTGTGAACCGCCCAACGGCGACAGCAGGCCTCTGTGTGGAACCTAGGGGCCCCTGATGGCGTTTTCGATTTGTTTGGCGACATAGATTTGTGAGAGCTTGCGAGTAGGCTGGCCAGGCGGAGTGGTGAAAGGTAGCTTGGTTAGGGACCTCTGAGGTGGTGTGGCGCCTCTCGCGCGGCTCTCGCTTGATTCGATTTGCAGTCTTCTGCGCCGCTGTAGTGCTTAGCCAGGGTCTAGGAGAGCGTCCCGGTTGGCGTGAGTGAGGGAATGAGGCGCGCGCGGAGGAACAGACGGACGTACAGCCGCGCGCCCGTCCCTGCGCTGTGTTTCGGTCAGGGGCCCGGTGGTCGTCCTTTCTCAGGGCGAGCCGCCCACAGTGTAACACCCTCAGCAACAACAACAACAGCAGTAACAATAACATTGACGTTTTTGCGCTGTTTTGCGCTCATCATGCATTCTGACGTACATTAAATAGCGTGTTATCTATTGGCCATAAGGAGATACACCTGATTATTATTTTTTATACAAGTTGTGCTCCGTTTCCTTACCAAAAATGTTCCCCAAGATCTGCATGCCGCACCCGGTCTGTACGAACAGGCTGCTGCTGCTGTACGCACTCTCCGTACTCCGTGCGGCTGTACTGCTCTAATCGCACAGTTATGGATCTTGTTTCAGGTGACGAACATTTACAAGACTCTGCGGGAGCTATGCTCCATGGAGGAGCACCGTACGGCCAGTGTGGTTGTGGCCCTGCAGGTAGGAGGGAGGAGGCGGGTGGAGGGGGTTTCCTAGACTGGGGAGGCTTTGTGTCGAACTGCAGGCTTTCCTGCCTGTTGCCTTTCTGTCGGTCTGTCTGTCCTTTTCTCTGTCTGTATGTATGCGTGGCTTCCAAGCCTTCTGGTATCTTCCCGGGCTCCCTTAGGGATTACGCGGTTTTCCCTCTTTTCCCCCCATTGGATTTCGGACGCAGTTTATTTCTGAACTTCTCGCGTATGATTTCCCCACTTCCCCATCAACCTCCCTTGGGGCCACACTACCTCGTAGCCCTTCCCCCCGGCGTCTCCCCCAACCCCCCAAAAGACGCCCACACCCGCACGCTATCCCCGCGAAGCTTGAGCCTCAAAGTCATCCCTCCGCTCCCCTCCACGGCACCGCAGGAGATCTCCTGTCCCAAGTCAGTTCCCTTCCTGGCCCGTTATATGACTGAGATGGACTCCAGGGAGGGGGGCTCTGGACGTGTGTGGCACTGCCTGACGTCCAGGTGATGCCGGGGAGGGGAGGCGCGGGTGCTGGTGGACAGTGGGCAGCCTATACCTCTTAACATACACATACACACACACTGTTGTAGCGCGATAGCTACACAGTAATGATGAGCTTATTCAGAAATATGCGAATCAATTATGACTATGAAATCTTCTGAAAACTGACATGGCTGTCAAGGAATCGTTTGTAAGAATTCACCGGAACTGAACATCAAGAATCTGTACGACAGCCTTACCGAAATCCACAACCTTACTGAAATCGTCTTTGCTCACAGAACGGACGTGGGTTTGTTTAGAATTCATATTCTACTCACGTTCGGAGCGCGGTCTTATACCGTGGTCGGGGCAGTGCCGGCCTGAGACATACTTCATGGGCCTGTAGCACTGCACTACACTACAACACACACTCTGTTGGCACGCATGCGCTATGTTTTTCTCTCCGTCCCCTCCATTTTCTGAATTCTGCTGGTCTGTTGATGATCAACCCTCTACTCTCCCCCCCCTCCCTACCCCCTCCCTACCCCTCCCTACCCCTCCCTACCCCTCCCTACCCCTCCCTACCCCTCCCTACCCCTCCCTACCCATCCCTACCCATCCCTACCCATCCCTACCCATCCCTAC